GGGGGGGGCATGTCCTGTACGTCCTCCCTGTGATTTACGCTTATGCTAGTATGTGTGTGTGTGTGTTTAATCCCATGTGAAATCACCTTTCCTCCAGCTTGTCCTCTGACAGCAAAGCAGAAGAGTGTTGAAGTGTTTGCGTTTCCTTCCAGTTTATAAAGTCCAAATGCAGCGGCGTGACCCTCGATTGGCTGAGAAACCTTACGCTCCACCGAGAACAACTGCATCGCGCCAACCACACGATTTTGCTGCAGGAGCGCACACACGCACACACGCACACACGCACACACGCACACACGCACGCACACACACACACACACAAACACACACACAAACACAAAAACCATTTTTACATTATATTTAAAAAATAAATAAATAAACAGGACAAGAAGTATATGAAATGAGACAAACATCTTGTTGAAACTATTATAACACTGAATTACATTTCAGTCTGGCCATTTTGCTCAGACAATTAAAATCAAAAGCAAACAATCTAATTTGAGAAATTTAGAGGCAAATGCGCGTGTGTATCTATCAGTCTCAGTGTGTGAATGTGTGTAAGAGAGAATGTGTGACACACATGCACACATTTCCACTCTCAGACATCTCTCATTTAAATGATTAATACATATATACATACCATACACGTACACGCATATACTCATTTAAAAAAATTATAAATATATACACAAATAAGTAAAAGACTAATACAATTATTATAAAAGATCAAGGAAGAACAAAAATAATAACAATATTAAAAAATAATAATGTTAAAAAATATTTAAAAAATATAATAATATTAATAATAGAATAAAAACAACAACAATAATATTAATTAATAATAATAATCTACTATAAACAAAATACCAATAATGATAAATAATAATATTATTCATAATATTAGAATAAAAACAATAATTATAATAAATAATCATAATACAAAATTAATAATAGATTAAAAGCAGTAACATTAATAAATAATAAATTAATTTTATTTAATAAATAATAATAATAAATAATAAATAAATAATAATATTAATAAATAATAATAATAATAAATAACAATAATAAAAATAATAAAAAGCAAAATCTTATCAATATTGACAAATAATAATATTACTCATAATATTTAAATAAAAATAATTATAATAAACAATTATAAATAATAATAATATAATAAAAATAGAAATAATAATAGTATTTATAAATAATAATAAATAATATAATAAAAACAATAAAATAACAATATTATTAAACAATATTATTCATACTAATATTAGAATAAAAACAATAATTATAATAATAATAACATAATAATAATAATAATAATAGTAGTATAATAAAACATTAAAATAATAACAATATTAATAAATAATAACATTATTCATATTATACTAGAATTAAAAACATTAATTTATTAATTCATTCCTTTTTTCTTTTTCCTTTACTAATCAGGGGTTGCCACAGCGGAATGAACCGCCAACTTATCCAGGATATGTTTTACACAGCGGATGCTCTTCCAGCTGCAACCCATCACTAGGAAATACTCATACACTACGGCCAATTTAGCTTATTCAATTCCCCTATAGCGCATGTGTTTGGACTGTGGGGAAAACCAGAGCACCCGGAGGAAACCCATGCCAACACAGGGAGAACATGCAAACTCCACACAGAAATGCCAACTGACCCAGCCGGGGCTCAAATCAGTGACCTTCTTGCTGTGAAGCAATCGTGCCGTCCGTGGCGTCCAGAATAAAAAAACAATCATTATAATAAATTAATAATAATAATACATTTATTATAATAAAATCTAATAATAGAACTAAATAATAATTATACTAAAATTGAAAAACAATAAACAAAACAAAACAAAACGCATAACAAAACATACAACACAAAATCTCTTACCTGTGCTGAGATGCCGATGAGCAGGAGCCAGCGGTGCTGCTGGTCTGTCCTGTAGTTGATGATCTGGCATCCGGCCAAACTGGCGTGTCGATCAAACATCTTAACGGGCTGTGATTCTCCTTCCATACTCCAGTGAAAGACGGCTGTATCAGTGACCAGAGCGATGATGTTCACAGAGATCCACTTCCAGAACAGCACCTCCTCCGTCATGGTGTGAGCCTTCACTTTACTCTTCATCTCCATGTTGAAGATCTGGAGCGTTCGTGCCGCTGTGCACACACAACACACACACACACTCACTCAATACTCGAATAAAGCAGATGTATATATCTTTTAAATTTATTACATGATTCTCTGGAATACTCTATTCTGATTGGTCAGGCACAGCATTATATTTTATCCTCCATTAATAAGTGATTAAACTAATAACACAGGCTCATCCCGGCACCATGTTAAGTTTGTTGTTTTGTAAATAGCAAAAAAAGAGGGCTAATAATATTAACCTTAGCAGTTTTTACATGAAGCAAATGCATATATACTCTCACCGGCCACTTTATTAGGTACACCTGCCCAACTGCTCGTTTACGCAAGTTTCTAATCAGCCAATCACATGGCAGCAGCTCAATGCATTCAGGCATGTAGACATGGTCCAGACGATCTGCTGCAGTTCAAACAGAGCATCAGAATGGGGAAGAAAGAGGATTTAAGTGACTTTGAACGTGGCATGGTTGTTGGTGTCAGACAGGCTGATCTGAGTATTTCAGAAACTGCTGATCTACTGGGATTTTCACGCACAACCATCTCTAGGGTTTACAGTGAATGGTCTGAAAAAGATGAAATATCCAGTGAGCGGCAGTTCTGTGGGTGCAAATGATTGCTGAGGACAGAGGAGAATGGCCAGACTGGTTCCAGCTGATAGAAACCCAACAGTAACTCAAATAAGCACTCGTTACAACCGAGGCCTGCAGAAGAGCATCTCTGAACACACAACACCTCCAACCTTGAGGTAGATAGGCTACAGCAGCAGAAGACCACACCGGGTGCCGCTCCTGTCAGCTAAGAACAGGAAACTGTGGCTACAATTCACACAGGCTCACCAAAACTGGACAATAGAAGATTGGAGAAACGCTGCCTGCTCTGATGAGTCTCCATTTCTGCTGACACACTTGAATGGTCGGGTCAGAATTTGGCATTAGCAACATGAAAGCATGGATCCATCCTGCCTTGTTTCAATGGTTCAGGCTGGTGGTGGTAGTATAATGGTGTGGGGGAGATTTTCTTGGCACACTTTGGGCTTATTAGTAGCAATTGAGCATCATGTCAATGCCACAGCCTACCTGCGTATTGTTGCTGACCATGTCCATCCCTTTATGAGCACAGTGTCTCCATCTTCTGATGGCTACTTCCAGCAGGATAACGCACCATGTCATAAAGCGTGCATCATCTCAGACTGGTTTTTTTGAACATGACAATGAGTTCACTGTACTCAAATGGCCTCCACAGTCACCAGAGCTCAATCCAATAGAGCACCTTTGGGATGTGGTGGAACGGGAGATTAGCATCATGGATGTGCAGCCGACAAATCTGCATTAACTGTGTGATGCTATCATGTCAGTATGGAGCAAAATCTCTGAGGAATATTTCCAGAACCTCGCTGAATCTATTCCACGAAGTATTGAGGCAGTTCTAAAGGCAAAAGTGGTCCAACCTGGTACTAGTAAGGTGTACCTAATAAAGTGGCCGGTGAGTGTATATACACAGCTGAAGTCAGAATTATTCTCCTGTAATTTTTGTTTTTCTTTTTCAAAAATTTCTCAACATTTAAATTTTTCCATTTAATAAAATGTTATTTAATCATTGAGTTAAAAAAAAACAAAGCTTTTGTTCACAATGAAATAACACGCACACAAACAAATAAAATGAGCATGCCACAACTCTGATCTGATCACATGATCTGCTAGACGACAGATGGATCATCTTTTATGATAAAGCACTGAATGTCAGATGAGTTCGTGAACCAGGATGTGTTAAAAATATCAAGAGAGGATCGATAAAGCTGGGCAAACAGGAATACAAAAAAAAAAAAAAAAAAAACCACGTATTTCACACTCCGATGCCAGTAAAATGACGTTCGTGATTATGAAGATGCAAACACACATCGATCATGCAGATGTCAGAAATAATGTTTATTCTGCCATTAATATATAAGACACGGACACCTGCATTCATATGAGACAGACAGAGCTGAGTAGTTAAGAACTAAATGCAATCTATAGTAATTTAAAATCTAAAATAAATCATATTTGTCATTAGGCCTGTCACAATAATCAATCAATCGACTTCTCACACAACACATGGACGTGACCTCAATCATTTTTGGTGATGCAATATATAATCACCCATACATAAAACCAACTCTAGCAACACTTTAGCTGATTGTGCAACATTTCTATCTCTATCTCTGTGTGGTTGAAAAACATTGCAGTATTTACTATAAATTACTATAGTATAGTTTCATGTGGATGTCTGACAGCTGAAAACAGATCTGCTAGCAGATATCGCAGCCTCTGTTCCTCTTTACCTTTCACTTTTGTGGTAACATTTATAAGTATTATTTATTTAGTATATGCGTTTTCACATTCTGATTCTTCTCCGATTATATAATGAGCATAAAAATGTCTTAAAATGACAATAATATTGTTTATTGCAATATATTTTGGTGCAATATATCGTACAACAAAAAATAGATATTGTGACAGGCCTATTTGTAATCTGATTGGGAATATCAAGTACTTGTAATTAGGGCTGGGCACCGAGTTCGATACTTTTTAGGCACAGACCGAAACGTCTCTATCGATACTATCAAGTATCGAAAAAATCATTTTCGTTTGGTACCAAATTTCGATACCCAAGGGTATCTTCTTGTCAACGTCAGTGAGCTAGAAAACCTGCAGCATCCATAGCCTGCCCGGATCAAATGCTGGCGATTGACGCCCGCGAGGCCGTATTGAAAATCAATAGTTTATGGTGGTTACGCCCACTCGCTCAAAGCTTGTCAAATGTGAGGCTGTAATGCGTACACTACACTTTAAAGCATTTTTGCATTGTTTAACTGCAAGAAGATCCTCAAAAATACTTAAAATTGGTTGACTTAAAACTGCTTGAACTTTATTAAAACGGTTTGCACTAATATATTGTGTTAACTACACTTTGTTCATTTTGTGCTTTTGTTCCTTTGATTATTGGTCTTAGAGACGAGCCTGCTGTGAAAAGAGTCGCAAAAATCCTGAAAATATAAAACCAAAGTTCCTCTGAGATTATGTGTTATATAATCTTGTTAAAATATATTTCTTAAAATAAAAGTGTCGAAAAAAGTATTGTTCTGAACCGGCATCGAATTCAGGGTATCGGTATCGAGCATTGTGGAACGATACCCACCCCTACTTGTCATTAAAGTAAACTACTTTTTAAAATGCTAATATTTAGACTAACCAGGACTTAATTTGTGCCAGAACTGGATCCGCCACCTCTGAAATCTGATCCGGCATCTCATTTTATCGATCCCCCTCCTCACACGCCCGCTCTTCGCTTTCTTCCGCGACTCCCCAACCCTCTTCACTTTCGTCCGCTTTACTTCTCCCTTCTCTTCCCTTGCAATTTACAAATTAAGAACTGAGACTAACCACCAAGCAATATGTTTATCAGATGTATTGGGTAAAACAAGGCTAAATTTGAGTAGTCAATGTAAATCTAAAAGAAGTCTAAAAATACACTACTAATCAAATAGAGTTCACATGTTGTTTAGTCATTTATTCCTGTCTATTTGGTGACTTTAGTATATTTTTGGGCAAAAAAATGTGCAGTTGTTTTGCATTTTGGGGAAATTTTGCTAGATATTATTAGCCATTTTGCTAACTAGTCCTAGGTTTTTCACCTGGGGTCTGTTCTTTGTACCTTGACAGGGCTCAACAATAAGGACTGACTGATGGCCTGGAGCCAGCTTGTGAGATGCTTGGGACAGTAGACAGGATCGTTACTGGCCCGATTGAGCCACTGCTGCCTTGTCACTAAAGTTTAATTCACCTGTGACTATTTGTCAATTGTGTGCAAATACAGTCTTAGAATCGAGAAACCGTTTGTGTTTTCAAGCCTTCAAATGCTACCTTTTGGGTTCCTCTTATCTGCTTGGATGTTGCGAGCATGTTATCTTTTTCCGTATCAACCAGTACAATGAAGAGACAGCAACATGGTGGCAACATTAAATGATGAAGCTAAAGGCAAACATTTGTTTCTAACGTCTTGGAAGCAGACATTAACGAGGGTACACCACGACTAAAATGAAGTGATGTTTTGTACAGTTTGCTGTCAGTTTGGCAGGTCAGCCATCTTTTGTTTCAAAACACTTTGAATTTTGCTCATTATACATTATTAACAGTTTTTAAATAATTAAATTCTAGATTTACAAACATTTTGACACATTTTTTGTGTTTGTGTGTGGTTATAAGGAATAGCTTTTAACTTTTTTTATTATTTATATGTTCTCAATAAGTTGTATGTGTGTGTGTGTGTGCATGTATGTATATATGATTGTGTGTGTGTGTGGCTTTTTTTCTGTGTTAGAGGGCAGGGCCACAGGTTTCAAATCTCCCAGGTTTGTGCGCGCAACTACTTGTGTTTAGTGAATACGTCATGACGAAACACATAATGACTCGTTATCAAGACGACTTGTTTGAAGCACTATGGAGTCGACTCTTTTATAGTTGAATCAACAGTTTTAAACACTGTACACTTACAGATTTAAGTCTTAGCTGGGTACTTCACTTCACTTAGAGCTGTGTTACACACTACATAGAAGGGCATTTTCAAAAACCCAAAATATGAGCTCTTTAAACTAATTCGTAAAGCTGCAATATCTCAAAAAACATTTGAAAATAAAGCAGCGTTTCCATCCAATGAGTCAAAGAGAACAAAATCCTCACTTCCTGATAATCTGGAGCAAATATAAGCCAGAGAAATGTAGTTTAGGCGTTGGGATTTGCCACGGTGGTGTTTTTTCTTCTCTATTAAAGGGTCACGAAACACCAAAACACATTTTTGAGCTGTTGACAGTCGTATATGTGTCCCACACTGCTAAAAACACTCTTAGGACACCTATATTTCACTAAAAAGTGTAAATTGGTTGTTTTTGCGTTATTTCAAGCAAATTCGTACTTCCGGTTTGAATCGAATTTTTGAAGCTGCGTCACGGTCATGACATAATAGCGTGTATTCCAGCGTGCAGACTGGACGTCTGTGCCAGAGTGTGTCTTATTACGTCTTACAGTGTGCTGCATTAATGCATGAGTAAGGCTTGGTTCAAACCAATCAGCACGCTCTATTGTGCAACTTCATTAATATTCATTACTGACACAGTGTTTTCACGACAGAGACACCACGTTGTGTTGGCAAAACAAGCGTGAAGTGTTGCTTTTATAGTTTGCTGCCGTTAAGTTTTGTTTTCATTTTCTCTCTGTGAGAGCTCAGCTGGAGTCACGTGTGGATTAACAGTGTACGCGACGCTCGACAACAATAACTTACGTGTCTAAGGAGGATTATTGTTTACCTGAGAGCTGTTCTCATCTGCAAACGCTGAGATCCGGATTCGCTGCTCGTCTCCTCTTAATAAAGACGCGGCTCTAGTTGCTGGTGATTGTCCTGTCTCTACAGATTTGGTAAGTGAGCGACCAGTGCTCTTTGTTTATTCAGTTTGTTCGTATCGAACTAAGTTAACTATTGCACCGAGTCACTGAGTGTAAACACGTTAGCATCACAACCAAACTTTAACCTCGTGTAGGGTTTTTACCGCATTTAGTGACCGGAATAACACACGCGGCTTTCTGACGCTACCTGCCGTGTGCATCTAAGTTTCCGGGAAATGCAGAGTTTTTTTTTTCTCTCATTCGTTGTGCGGTATCAAACATTGCATGAAAAATACACGCTTGCAGCAGTTCCTTGAATCAAATATCTCGTTTGTCGTGAGGGGCATGAATGAATTCCCTGAATGAAAGAGCCAAACTGCAGTTAAAGTCCACCATTTAATAATTTGGCAAATAATTCGACTACAGATGTCCATGTAGGTTAAACACCATCACTTTCTCCTGTGTGTGTGTGTGTGTGTGTGTGTGTGTGTGTGTGTGTGTATTTTGACTCTGAAACTTGCGCGTGCACAAATAGACACTCCCACACCATCCCACTTTAGTTCCTCCGACACTCCCCCCTAAACAGAGCTGGACACGCCCACTTTTCTGACTTTTTCCAAAGTAGAGGTGTGAAAACACCCTGCTGAAACGAGGGGGCTTCATGGCCCTTTAAATGAGTTGTGTCTCAAAAAACAAAGACGAAATGCAATACGATGGTAGTTTAAACATCTTTTTTTGTCATCAGCTAAAAAGTTTATGTTACTCAGATGTGTGTGCATAAATACTTTTTGCACATTTTTTAAAATTAAGCATATTCAAAAATGTGCATGAAAATGGGTGGATGGAAACATCGCTAATGACATGCATCATTCAGTATGGTCTGATAAACTCACCATCTTCAACCAGCGCAGAGTGAGAGCAGTTTAGTGGTTAAAGACAGAGTTAGCATTATTCAGAAGCACATTAGTAAATGTTAAGCATCATCCGAGCGTGGTACCTTTGAGCGCGATAACTTTGCTGGCCGGGTTCATGATGGCGCTGTCTGCAGTGATGGGCCGGCGGATCGGGTTGCTCGGGTCACACATATCGATTATAATTACCTGGTTTTGCTCGCCCACTTTTTCTCGGATGCAGATGAAGCGGTCAGACTCCATAGTGAGGCAGCTGAAGCTGATGCTCTCCGGATTCACTCCCAGAGACTGCAGCTAGGGGGAGAAAGAGAAGACAGCACGTAACTCTATGTCATGTTATTCATTCATTCATTCATTCATTCCGGCTTAGTCCCTTTATTAATCAGGGGTGGCCACACCGGAATTAACCACCAACTTATCCAGCAAATGTTTTACGCAGCGAATGCCCTTCCATGCGGAGGAAACCCACGTGAACGCAGTGAGAACATGCAAACTCCACATAGAAATGCTAACTGACCCAGCCGAGGCTCGAACCAGCAACCATCTTGCTGTGAGGCGACAGCACTACCTACTGCGCCACTGCATCACCTATGTCATATTAAATATATACAAATTTTCCTTCGGCTTAGTCCCTTTATTTATCAGAGGTCGCCACTGTGAAATGAACCACCAACTGTTCCAGCATGTTTTATACAGCGAATGCCCTTCTAGCTGCAACCCAGTATTGGGAAACACCCAAACACACATTCTCACTCACACACACACACACACTCATACACTACAGCAAATTTAGTTAATCAATTCCCCTATAGCGCATGTGTTTGGACTGTGGGGGAAGCCGGAGAACCCGGAGGAAACTCATGCCATCACGGGGAGAACATGCAAACTCTACACAGAAATGTCAACCGACCCAGCCGAGACTCAAACCAGCGACCTTCTTGCTGTGAGGCGATTGTGCTAACCACTGAGCCACAGTCATATACATATCAATATAACAGTAAAATAAATATACAAAATACATGAAAAAATTTTGAAAAAAATATTTAAAATTAAAATAATACAAAAGATGTGTATAAAATACTCTGATTTACATTTTTAATAAACAAAATTATATTAAAATAAAAAATAATGTATAATTTCATGCATTTTTAGTTTTTTCATATTAAATATATAACAATATAACAGTAAAAAATATACAATATACATGAAAAAATGCAGAAAAATATTTAAAATTAAAAAATAAAACGTGTATGAAATATTCCAATTTAAATACATTTTAATAACCAAAAACAACTGGTAAAATTAACAAAATATCATGTATGATTTAATGCATTTTTATATATAAGAGTAAAATAAAATATATTAAACACATAAAAGAAAAATTGAGCAAAAATATTTAAAAATAAAGAACATAAAAAAAAAAATA